ACCGTCAAGACGAGATATAAAAGGTAAACATACCACGGAGTGAAGGCCGCTGACAGCCTACTCTATGGCAATTTACACACAGAAACGAACTCAGACAAAATATTCTTGCTTATGTCACATTTTCTCCACGAGTATTGGGTCTACGGACTTCAAACTTGTTGGACAATGAAGCCAGACTAACTAGCTCTCCATACATGTCCAAAAAATTAGGAATTTTTTATAACAAGATACCGTCAAGACGAGATATAAAAGGTAAACATACCACGGAGTGAAGGCCGCTGACAGCATACTCTATGGCAATTTACACACAGAAACAAACTCGGACAAAATATTCTTGCTCATGTCACATTTTCTCCACGAGTATTGGGCCTACGGACTTCAAACTTGTTGGACAATGTAGCCAGTGTATTAGCTTTCCATATATGTCAAAAAAATCAGGAATTTTTTAAAAAGATACCGTCAAGACGAGATATAAAAGGTAAACATACCACGGAGTGAAGCCGCTGACAGCCTACTCTATGGCAATTTACACACAGAAACAAACTCAGACAAAATATTCTTGCTTATGTCACATTTTCTCCACGAGTATTGGGCCTACGGACTTCAAACTTGTTGGACAATGTAGCCAGTGTAACTAGCTTCCATACATGTCAAAGAAATTAGGAATTTTTCATAACAAGATACCGTCAAGACGAGATATAAAAGGTAAACATACCACGGAGTGAAGGCCGCTGACAGCCTACTCTATGGCAATTTACACACAGAAACGAACTCAGACAAAATATTCTTGCTTATGTCACATTTTCTCCACGAGTATTGGGCCTACGGACTTCAAACTTGTTGGACAATGTAGCCAGACTAACTAGCTCTCCATATATGTCCAAAAATTAGGAATTTTTTATAATAAGATACCGTCAAGACGAGATATAAAAGGTAAACATACCACGGAGTGAAGCCGCTGACAGCATACTCTATGGCAATTTACACACAGAAACAACTCAGACAAAATATTCTTGCTTATGTCACATTTTCTCCACGAGTATTGGGCCTACGGACTTCAAACTTGTTGGACAATGTAGCCAGTGTAATTAGCTTTCCATACATGTCAAAGAAATTAGGAATTTTTCATAACAAGATACCGTCAAGACGAGATATAAAAGGTAAACATACCACGGAGTGAAGGCCGCTGACAGCCTACTCTATGGCAATTTACACACAGAAACAAACTCAGACAAAATATTCTTGCTTATGTCACATTTTCTCCACGAGTATTGGGCTACGGACTTCAAACTTGTTGGACAATGAAGCCAGACTAACTAGCTCTCCATATATGTCAAAAAAATCAGGAATTTTTTTATAAAAGAGAACCGTCAAGACGAGATATAAAAGGTAAACATACCACGGAGTGAAGCCGCTGACAGCATACTCTATGGCAATTTACACACAGAAACAAACTCGGACAAAATATTCTTGCTCATGTCACATTTTCTCCACGAGTATTGGCCTACGGACTTCAAACTTGTTGGACAATGTAGCCAGTGTAATTAGCTTTCCATACATGTCAAAGAAATTAGGAATTTTTCATAACAAGATACCGTCAAGACGAGATATAAAAGGTAAACATACCACGGAGTGAAGGCCGCTGACAGCCTACTCTATGGCAATTTACACACAGAAACGAACTCAGACAAAATATTCTTGCTTATGTCACATTTTCTCCACGAGTATTGGGCCTACGGACTTCAAACTTGTTGGACAATAAGCCAGACTAACTAGCTCTCCATATATGTCCAAAAAATTAGGAATTTTTATAACAAGATACCGTCAAGACGAGATATAAAAGGTAAACATACCACGGAGTGAAGCCGCTGACAGCCTACTCTATGGCAATTTACACACAGAAACAAACTCGGACAAAATATTCTTGCTTATGTCACATTTTCTCCACGAGTATTGGGCCTACGGACTTCAAACTTGTTGGACAATGTAGCCAGTACTAATTAGCTCTCCATACATGTCAAAAAATTAGGAATTTTTTCATAACAAGATACCGTCAAGACGAGATATAAAAGGTAAACATACCACGGAGTGAAGGCCGCTGACAGCCTACTCTATGGCAATTTACACACAGAAACAACTCAGACAAAATATTCTTGCTTATGTCACATTTTCTCCACGAGTATTGGGCTACGGACTTCAAACTTGTTGGACAATGTAGCCAGACTAACTAGCTCTCCATATATGTCCAAAAATCAGGAATTTTTTTATAATAAGACCCGTCAAGACGAGATATAAAAGGTAAACATACCACGGAGTGAAGCTCGCTGACAGCATACTCTATGGCAATTTACACACAGAAACAACTCGGACAAAATATTCTTGCTCATGTCACATTTTCTCCACGAGTATTGGCCTACGGACTTCAAACTTGTTGGACAATGTAGCCAGTGTAATTAGCTTTCCATATATGTCAAAAAAATCAGGAATTTTTTCATATAAGATACCGTCAAGACGAGATATAAAAGGTAAAATACCACGGAGTGAAGCCGCTGACAGCCTACTCTATGGCAATTTACACACAGAAACAAACTCAGACAAAATATTCTTGCTTATGTCACATTTTCTCCACGAGTATTGGGTCTACTACGGACTTCAAACTTGTTGGACAATAAGCCAGACTAACTAGCTCTCCATATATGTCAAAAAATCAGGAATTTTTCATAACAAGATACCGTCAAGACGAGATATAAAAGGTAAAATACCACGGAGTGAAGGCCGCTGACAGCCTACTCTATGGCAATTTACACACAGAAACAAACTCAGACAAAATATTCTTGCTTATGTCACATTTTCTCCACGAGTATTGGGTCTACGGACTTCAAACTTGTTGGACAATGAAGCCAGACTAACTAGCTCTCCATACATGTCAAAAAATCAGGAATTTTTCATAACAATACCGTCAAGACGAGATATAAAAGGTAAACATACCACGGAGTGAGGCCGCTGACAGCCTACTCTATGGCAATTTACACACAGAAACAACTCAGACAAAATATTCTTGCTTATGTCACATTTTCTCCACGAGTATTGGGCCTACGGACTTCAAACTTGTTGGACAATGTAGCCAGTCTAACTAGCTCTCCATATATGTCAAAAAATCAGGAATTTTTCATAAGATACCGTCAAGACGAGATATAAAAGGTAAACATACCACGGAGTGAAGGCCGCTGACAGCCTACTCTATGGCAATTTACACACAGAAACAAACTCAGACAAAATATTCTTGCTTATGTCACATTTTCTCCACGAGTATTGGGCCTACGGACTTCAAACTTGTTGGACAATGTAGCCAGACTAACTAGCTCTCCATACATGTCAAAAAATTAGGAATTTTTCATAACAAGATACCGTCAAGACGAGATATAAAAGGTAAACATACCACGGAGTGAAGGCCCGCTGACAGCCTACTCTATGGCAATTTACACACAGAAACAACTCAGACAAAATATTCTTGCTTATGTCACATTTTCTCCACGAGTATTGGGCTACGGACTTCAAACTTGTTGGACAATGTAGCCAGTCTAACTAGCTCTCCATATATGTCCAAAAAATTAGGAATTTTTCATAAGATACCGTCAAGACGAGATATAAAGGTAAACATACCACGGAGTGAAGCCCGCTGACAGCCTACTCTATGGCAATTTACACACAGAAACAAACTCAGACAAAATATTCTTGCTTATGTCACATTTTCTCCACGAGTATTGGGCCTACGGACTTCAAACTTGTTGGACAATGAAGCCAGACTAACTAGCTCTCCATATATGTCAAAAAAATCAGGAATTTTTTATAACAAGATACCGTCAAGACGAGATATAAAAGGTAAACACCCACGGAGTGAGGCCCGCTGACAGCCTACTCTATGGCAATTTACACACAGAAACAAACTCAGACAAAATATTCTTGCTTATGTCACATTTTCTCCACGAGTATTGGGCCTACGGACTTCAACTTGTTGGACAATGTAGCCAGTGTAATTAGCTTTCCATACATGTCAAAGAAATTAGGATTTTTTATAATAAGATACCGTCAAGACGAGATATAAAAGGTAAACATACCACGGAGTGAAGGCCGCTGACAGCCTACTCTATGGCAATTTACACACAGAAACAAACTCAGACAAAATATTCTTGCTTATGTCACATTTTCTCCACGAGTATTGGGCCTACGGACTTCAAACTTGTTGGACAATGTAGCCAGT